CTCCAAGTCGACAAGCCTTGCGATAGTGCTGTTCCCTTTACACCATAATGGGTTCAGGGTTTAGGGGTTTAGGGTTTAGGGTTTAGGGTGTAGGGTTTAGGGTTTAGGGTTTAGGGGTTTAGGGTTTAGGATAGAGTTTCGGGTCTCCAGTTAAAGATGTTGGGGTCTAGGGCTTGAGGCTTAGGGTCTCGGCTAAATATTCTCTTGTAGTCCTCATACAGTTAGTTATACTACAATATACACCAAAACTCCGTTCTAATGCCCGAAAGTGTGAGGAAATGTCTTCGGGGGAGGTAGCTGGGATGGCATGATGTGATGATGTTGATCCGTTGATGCTGATGTTGAGGCGTCGGTGATGATGATGCCGCTGATGATGATGATGCTGCTGATGATGATGATGACGATGATGAGTCGTCAGGCTGCATGGCGTGAGGTTGCTCGGCATAGGTTTTCGCGAGGTTGGTTGGCCCTTGGGATTTCGTGAGACTGCCTCTTATCTCTCAATCCAACTTAGTATCTTACAACGCACGGGCCAGGGCTAGCTGTTATTGTTTACGATTTTGGGGTTCTTGAGTTGTGGTCATTCCCATGCAGCAAGGCTACAAATGCGTCGCCGCCGTGTCCAGCTCTTTGGCGAAGGACGGACACGAATCCAGCTCCCCGAAGTTTCTCATGTCCAAGGTAGTATTCGGGAGACCCCATGAAGGGGGCCCTTCTGAACCCTACTTCTGGCTCTCTTAAACGGGACCTTGTTGAGATCGTCTATATTTCCAAGGGTCCCCCCTAATCCTAACTCCTATTATGCCTCGGGCCAGACACCCAAACACCGATTTTGGGGTCGAGGGCAAGGGATTCTGGACCTTGCAACTTCTGGTGGCTTAGGGTTGGGGCTTAGGGATTGGGGTTTTAACCCAAACTCCCCAAAACCTGTAAGGGCCCCTTGCAGGGATTCTTGAAGGAGGCTCTTAATGAATTGAACCCCCAACCCCATTGGTAAACCCAAAACCCCTAAACCCTAAACCCTAAACCCTAAACCCTAAACCCTAAACCCTAAACCCCTAAACCGCAAACCCTAAACCGGCTCTTCGTGAAGTTCAGAGGAGACGCTCCCACGGCTCGCGGCCAGCCTGGATGTGCAGCCCGTCACTGACATCCTCGAGGTGGCCGAGGCCGGGCTTATTTTGCATATCTATATCTGTATATATTAACATAATAGTAATAATACTACCAATAATTATAATATTAGTAATAATAGTAACCATACTAATACTATAAAATATACACACATACATGTGTAGTCGTGTAAGGATGGCAACAGTTGCTGGACATAGCTGTACTGAGAATTACTGAGAATGACAATAAGAATACTGGTCACAGTTGTTGTCAAACCCTAAACCCTAAACCCTAAAAACTAAACCCTAAACCCTAAACCGTTAAGGGTTCCCTTAAGGGGTTTGTATTTTCTGAAAGGGCCTCTGAGTTCGGGACTTGAAGGGTTCGGAGTTCTTTTCAGGATGGAGCGCTGAGAGCTTCGGTGTTTCGTCTTGGGACTTAGTGTGGGGAGAGGAGGGAAGGAAAAGGAGCTAGCCCAATGTCATGAAAGCCTGAAACCAAAACAATGAGGCCCCAATAACCGGCTCCTCCTGGTAAGGACTTCTACTGTATCTGCAGTTGGAAAAGAGCCCACAAAAAAAACGCACCAAAGTCAAAAACCTCAATCTGCGCCAGGAGGATGGCGTCTATCGCCGGCCGATGTACGCCGGCAACGCCATCGCGACCGTGCCTGGCCCGAATGGGTTTGCCCTTTGGGTTTAGGGTTCTAGGGTTTTAGGGTTTAGGGGTTTAGGGTTTAGGGTTTAGGGGTTTAGGGTTTAGGGGTTTAGGGTTTAGGCGTTAGGGGTTTAGGGTTTAGGGGTTTAAAGGTTTTGGATTTAGGGTTTCGAAGCTTAGGTGCTTAGGTTTGTGGATGTGGGGTTGGTGGATGAGGCTTCGGGGTGTCGCAGATGTAGCGGCGAGGCTCAGGAACTCTGAAAAAGCTCAGAAGCTTGGAGCACAGGAGCCTAAACCCTGAATCCTAAACCCTAAACCCTAAACCCTATACCCTAAATCCTAAACCCTAAACCCAATGCTCAACCGGAACATCTCCGAGTCCCGCCCCGACTTGGAACTTGAGCTCCCAGAACCCTCCCTAAACCCTAAACCCTAAACCCTAAACCGTAAACCAAACCCTAAACCCCCCCCCTTAGCCTTACACCTCCCTCTGCTCTTTCCCCTTTCTCCCCGAGACTGTTTGGCTCCCCCCCTCCACCCTGGTTTTCATGTGTTGGCTTCAGGGCTCCGCTACACCAGCGTCACGTGGAGCAGGGCCGCGTCTGCCTGCAGCCGAGCACGCGCGTTTCCCAGAGAACCCAATACCCCTTAATTAAGAATATACCTTAAACTATAGGGGCCTTAATAGTAGCCAGGCGACGAATATGGTCTCCAGCAAGATCAACTAGTGTCTCACTGTCCCAGGAGACATGCCATGTCGTCTAGTCCCGGTGTTCTCTGCCGCCTGCTCCGCTGCCTTCTGTGGGCTGGGCTTGCGGTGGACGTGCCGCTGTCCTGCCCGTGGGAGGTCTGCGGTGAGCCTGATGTCTGCAGTTTCGATCCGCCTGCATC